TTTTTAACTGGGCTGCCTCTCCTTGAGAAATGTATTGGGTCCTTCCATAGTACGGCCATGCCATGGGGCTGACACATCTCCTCAGGTCCCGTGGAAGAGGGAATGGTGCTGGAGTAACACCCTACGGACTCGGAGGAAGGATAATTTCCCACTGAGGAGAGGTGCGTGGGGGAAGGGAGAAGAAATGCTGGGGGAGCTGCAAATCTTAACAAAAGGACTAGGCTTTCAAAATGGAAAAGGAAAAGGAAAAGGAAAGCTGGGGAGTGGGGTTGTTTTCTATTTTTCCAATGGACAAAAGAGCTGGTCTACGTTTTTGACTCATGAAAACGGGGAAAGTTTTTGAAAGGGAGAAAAATTATTCTGGCTGAGCTCAGGGTAACAGAAGAGTGGTTTGAGCTTAGCATTACTAACTTCCATTTGCTCTGCAGGACGGGACAGTGTGATGTAAAGTTCCTCTCTGAAAAGGATGTCCAGACTTTTTCCAATAGGTGGGGATGGGAACAGAGGTGGAGTCACTTCATTAAGGAGATGAGGACTGGAAACTGCTCAAGTGAAGTTCCTCTCCACTGCAAAAGTGAAGATGTTTAGCGATCACCAGAAAAAAAACATAGCCAGTATAGTGGACACGGTTACTGCAGAACAGGACACCAGGGCTCTCCTCCAAACTGGAGTAGAAGGGCTGAGCAGTGGCACTGGAGCAGCAGAACAAGGGTGAGGACACCAGGGTCTGGAAGCAGCATTGCTGCGCTCAAAGCCCACTCTTGCCACTGACTCCCAGCATGGCTTTGTGTAAATCTCCTTTGTGCCTCAGCTTACTGCTGTAAAACACAGGGGGGGAAAGTGAGGCAACTTCCCAGGGGTGGTGGGGGTGTCAGACACTACTGTTTTGTGTTTTGCAAGCTGCTGAGAAAGGGAGAGGAGTCCAGCCTGCTAGTGCAAGCAATGGATCCATCAGGGTCTACTGGGATGAGCTTGTTCGCTGAGTGTTTGGCCCCCATCACACTCTCCTCACAGCTGGGCCGGCCAGCGCTGGGAGGGCCACTGCACCGTGAGGTACGAGGCAATCACTGGACAGAGCCGCCACTGCTGCCACTGCTGCTTCAGCTTGTTTGTTTTCCTTAATCCCAAGAGACAGCATCTCTGACATGGCAGCAGCGTGATTAAAATGATCCAGCGTTGCTGTCACAAGCATGTAATTAGGGGTTTCCTGTGTCACTCCTGCTGGGAGGTCAGTGACTTGCCCTCCCTCACTCCAACAGCAGGAGGGGACGGCCGCCAGCTCCCATCTGCCTCTTAACCCCCTGCCCAGCTCTGGCCTCCAGCCTCCAGAGCCCTGGTGAGGGGTGGGCAGGCTGCAGCGCACAGCCAGGCTGGGGAGGGACAGCAGGCTGAGAGGGGTCAGGGAGACCCAGAGAAAAGAGGAGGGGGAGGGGGAAGACTGGAGACATGGGGGCTGGAAAGGGAGACTGCAGAGGAACCTCCCCCTTGGTACTCAGTACCCTTAGGTTTGCCCACAAAGCCCTCCAGCAAAGTGGACCGAGGGGAGGCAGTTTGACAGCTGCCAAGAAGGAGCCTGGCTTTCAAGAGGGGGTGCTTGGTGGGTTTTGGGAGGCTGTCCTTCAGACCTGACAGGGGACCTGCCTGTTCAAGAGTGACCCTGATGCCAGGGAGAGGGGAAGATCTCTCCTCATGAGCACAGGGGCCTTCTGGTGGTCAGTGTGAGGGCTACACTGCCCATGGATGCAGAATAGTGAAAACTGTAGCCTGTTCCCCCTCCCACAACCCTTTTAAGACATAACATAATACATCTTGGTCCATCCTGAGAGACCTGGGCAAGCTTTGCCATCCCCTACATCCTAGATCTCTGCCTATGATTACATGAAGAATGGGAGCCTTGCCACAGTCTGCCCCAGGTTCTCCCAAAAGGCACTGCAAAATCATTTAGGAGGTCCCCAAGGAATCATCTTGCTCCTCAACACCCATGTTTCCCTTGCGTCTAGCAGGCTGGTCAGAGCACAGAGGGGCTACTCTCACCAGATCGGTTTCTGAAGCTGTTGCACATGGGATTAGCTGCAAATCGCAGCAGAGAAGGACTCGCTGCTGGCCTGTCAGAACAAGATGAGGGTTTGTGCTGCATTTGCTCCTGAAGAAGGCAGGGTTTCCTCAAGCTCTGTTTATTTAGTGACCCCCACATAAGAGAATCCATCACATAGCCTCCTTTATTAATGCTGGCAATCATCTGCAACCAGCTGTTGCCCAGCTGTCAGGGCTGGTATTGCACAGAAATCCCTGCACAGAGGGCCATATCTCCTCATACTTACAGTCCTAGACTCCAAAAGAGACTTAAGGAAGAGCCTGGGAGGTTATGGCAGCAGCCTACTTAGTGGGGTTACTGGTACAGGCAGACACACTGGACCTTAGCTCCCACTCACACCATAAACTGCAGCCCAGGCTGGCCATGTCCCCACAGAGCCCAATATCAGTGCTCATCCCTGGCAAGAGCAAAGCACTTCTGTCTGTGAGGAGCTGCCACATGGTCACTGGTCCTCAGCCCCAGCAAATCTTAGCCCTCTCCAAAGCACCACATGCCACTGTGTTTAGAGGGGGGGCAAAGCCCAGATTCAGATGTTTAGGCCAAAGCAGATTGGCATCCTACATGTAAAGCAAGCTGTGAAAGTGACTCTCAGTTCTTCCCTTCCTGATCCCAACTATTTGCATCTAGCAAGGCGTACCTTCCAGAAGGGCATCCAGCTTCAAGCCAAAGACATCAAGAAACCGAGACGCCACCATCACTCCCAATAAAGTGCTCCAGTGAAGAGTTGCCTTCACCATTGAAAAAATTCTGCCTTCTTTCTAGTTTGGGTCTGCCTGGCATGAGCTAAGAAACAGGCAAACCACCCATGAGTTGCGTTCTACACCTAACACAGTTACCCAGAGCTACAGTCTTGAAGTAACTGCTATGTAAACCTACATGGGAGCAGACATCACCGAGGACTTTTGCAGGTTTCCTATACTCTCCATTGCATTAGAAAATAAATGAGCCCCATCCATAAAGCATGCTGTAAACAGGGGCACAATCTAGAACCCCACAGGCAGAAAAGAAGGGTTTCCTAATCCATGCTAGCAGCCATCCCAGCCACATGCTCTTGCTCAAACAATCAAGGTTTTCTCTGAAAAAGAAAAAAAAAGGAGCACAGAGGTCCTTCAAGTGAAGTGTCCCAGGAGCAATCTCGCGTCACAAAAAGCTCCAGCTAATGCAGGGGCTTAGGGGTCACTGTGTGGTTTAGCTACAAAGAGCCTTCTTGAAGGGGTAGCGCAAACCCAGCAGTGGGAGTGCAGAGAGAAGCTGCAGGAGGCATGAGGCAGCCATGCGGATCCTGCCAACCATCCTTCCCACTTCCTCCACAGGGAGCAGAGGGGAATGCTGCAGCATGCTGGCCTGTGGTGAGGATTACTGCTGAAATCCTCAGTGCATGCCCCGTGTATCTGGCCTGTGCACCAATATAGACCTCTGCACGGATGAGGCCTCCATGTAATAAGGAGCCATCTTGCTCCCGACCACTGGCACAGCCAGTCCCTGAAACTCCCCTGCTTTCTTCCTTGCACCCCTAATTCATATGACACGACATCTCCACGTTTCTGAGTGTGCTCAGGGTGATTCACTGCCACAGGCACAATGGCCTGTTTTAGTGCGAGGCTGGGGAGGAGCTCAACGTGCCAGGACAGAGATACTGCTGCTTTCTGAAACATCTCCCAGGAGGAAAACCCTTCACCTTGCCAAAGGCAGCGTCATGCTGGCTGTGCCGCTGCAGGGTTAGCGGTGACTGACACATGCAGAGTCCCCTCCCAGGATGTGGGAGCTAATCACTTCCCTTGACCTGCCACAGCCCCAGGTGTGGGAACGTATCCCATAGCAGATGAGACCCAGGGTGCAAAGCACAGACGTGTTGCTTCTGGAGGGGAATGGGATGTTGCTCTATATTGAACCAGTGGAGGGGACACCAAATTTACATGCAATGCTGGTAACTTTGAAAGCAAAGCAGAAGGCATCCTTTAAACCTCAGGCAGGGAGGAGGCAGACAGCTATTTGTCATCTGCAGGACTATTGGACTGGGTAGGACCACCAAGGCCATCTGTCCCAGTCCCTACAACTACAGGCTGATCCAGAGAGGTTACAAGGACATTCACCGCCATCCCCTCCATTGCTCACATCATGAAATATGTCATTGTCCTCCTCTGCAGTTCACAGGAACATCTCCTGGTCCCCTGGGAAAGCAGACCATGCCACGCACTACAGAAGGTTAAAAAATTGTTCCTGTCAATCTGATTTGGATGGAAATATTTTCCTGACCCCAAATCTGGCATTTCCTTAAGGCTAGAGCATGTGCATCAGACATGTGAGGCAGGCCTTGGAGCAGTTTCTCTGTGCCACCAAAGTCACTACAACACCCCACCACATCTTGTCTCTAGCCGTAGCCAGTGTTCAGTGCAACAGGGCAAAAAAGAAACCTTTTTAATTTCTTTTCAGAATTCTTTCTAAGCAAAACAAAAGGGAAAAAAAGTTTGCTGGTGGGTTTATAGGGGCAACCTGAGATAGGGATTCATTTAGCACAATTGTGTGTATTAATAGGGATTAATTAGTGGGCTGCACCAAACTGATATGAGATCACTTTTCATGTCCCGTTTGGCAATACCACCAACTGGAACATCCAAAACTCAATATTGCAAGCTTTATTCCTCTAGTCCAGAACCCCGTTATCCTGTCATCCGATCCACTCCATAAATTCAGCAATCCTGCCAATGAATTATTCAGCTGTCCTAGGTCTTATGCATCAGCTGCTACCCCATGTAAGACCAAAATCACAAGGAATGGGAAGAGGGAGAAAAAGTAAGACAGTTTGCTTTCTCCGTAGCTAGAGAATGCCCTATGGCACGTCCCAGAAAGAGGGCCAGAACTCCCCAAAGTGCTTGTGCTCTTCTAGCTAAAATGCAGAATGACCATGGGGAACGGTAAGATATTCATAAGCTTGATGTGATTCTTGTATTAAGACTGTTGAACTTGTATCATTTAAAGCTCATGGTCACTGAGATTTCTACAGAACACCATTTTACACTCCTTTTTTTTTTTTCCTGTTTATTTAATTCACACATGTAACTGGTGCAGGAAGCACTGACAGGACATGACTCAGAAACACATACAAGTGTATCCCTTTACATTTATGCACGTAAATTCCCAAGAATTTGCTGCTGAGGATGGTTGCATTGCACTGAATGTAACAGCTACTTGTAGAAAAAATCCTCGGGGCCATCTGAACTCATGTAAATGACCCCTCCCTGGACACCCTGGGGCCTTCTACCATGATGGGAAACAGCCATACTTACTCAGGCATTGGCCTGTGATGGAGGACCCAACACCAAAAGTCCTACCACTTTTGGCTAACAAAAGCAAGGCATATTTTCGCGACGTTCCTTCTCCACAAAGGGGTGTGCAGCCCAAAGAAAACACCATCCCTCCATTAAAAAACAATCTTTTCCCTTGGAAGTAGAGTATACCATAAAGGACCGGTGTTAGTCACCTCTCTTAACAAGCTGATGGAAGGTGGTATATTTTGGAGCACGGGGTGAGAACACTATCATTCATATGCTAGCTGATACTGCACCAGGGAGTCAAGCCCAGCCTCGCCTGTGATGGCTCTGCTGATCTTTATCTGCTAGAAATGTGATGAATCTATTCAGAGCTGGATCTGGTGGGGAACCTGCAATAGGTGAAACCTCAGCAAGGAGAAAGGAGAGGCAGATGAACAATTGGTTGGCCCTGGCAGAGAAGGGCCATCCTACAGCTCAGACAGAGGGGGGCTGAAACTGTGAGCTCTGCAGGAGACCAGGGGAGAACTCAAACTCAGCCGAGGAAAAGCAAAGTTCCTTTATGCCCCTTTGGGACACTTCTTGGAGTTCATTACCAGCATGCCATGGCCAATTGCTGAAAGAGACAGATCCCAAATGACAACAAAAGACAGATGTTCTGGGAGTTCTGAAACAAAGATCCCCACAAAGAACTAAAGGAGGACAAATAGTGCTACAAAGACATAGGAGCAGCACTAAAGAAGCCGACTCTGCCACCAAGCTGTGCAGAGCAGCCCCATCAAGTCATTAGGCCATTTCTACATGTGAGTATCATTCCTTCTTGAGGTCTGGTTGCTAAGGTCAGAGCTCCAGAGAAAAGCAGAACTTCCAAAAACCAATGCACAAGTGTGGTATAGCAAGCATGAAGCAAACATTTGAGTGTAACACATAACACCTCCTTCAGGAATTCCAGAGAACTCCAATGTCCTTCATGACAAGAACAAGTTAAACTTTACATCCTTGCAACAAAGGCATTCCCATTTTACTGACCAGGAAAGTGGAGTACCAGGAGATTCCAACCAATGTTTCTAAGTATGGAAGCCTTAAATCAGATGTCTAAAAAGCTTGCAGGCATGTTAGAAAGGGTCTCGGTATTTCCAAGATGCTTTGTATCCCCACTGTTGCTAACTGAATAATTGCTAGCTGACCTACTTCAGTGCTCATGATCACAAAACCCTCCATAACGGTGACCGATTACTATTATTACTGATAAGAGGGCCCAATTCAATCATTCCATTCATCTAATTAATTCCAAGGCTCCCAATGCCATATCATTTGCTGAAGAGCTCCCCAAGTTTTCACAGTTACCTCTTGCACAGATTTTTTTCCAATCTGAAGGCAGCAGAGTCATGCATGACTATGTGGGGCCATTTGATCCTATCACTTTCAAACAAACGCCCCCCTGGAAATCAGGTGTTAGCAAGTCCAAGCAAGAAAAAACTGTGTCCCAAGACAGTGGATGACTGTAGTAGAAATCTGTATTAACATGTCCTTCCCACACCAGAAGAGAATTCACAGCTTTTTACTGTAAGTTAACTTTATCCAAACTCCTGGTTTGGATCACTGAATCGGATGTTTGAACAAATCTTCCCACTGCTCCTCTTATGGCGGGACAGCAAGGAGCTTATGTGACAGGGTTGATACTGTTTTGTTAGATAAAAGCACAAAACTTTTTGGACATCAAAAAAGTGACCCTTCATCACTTACAATGCAAGCAGGAATTCCTGTCCACAAAAATACTAATCTTAACACTTTCCCAGTCTGTGTTAAATTAGTAGAATTCATACGCAGCACTTCAGGCCATTTACAAGGGGCATTTCCTGCAATCAAAAACATATGTCCCATAAATGGCCCAGTTCTGCCTAAGTTTGCTTTCCTAGAGCAGCTGGCCATTCCTGAGAATACAAAGGAGAATATTGAAGCAAGTGTAGTTTTCGCTGATAACCAGAGCTGGCTGGGAAATAGAAATCCCTTCCAGCCAGAAAGAAAACAATAGTAATTGAGTTTCTTTTTAAGGAAAATACTAGACTGAAAAATCAAAAATGCTGTATATGAATACAGAGTCCCACAAAAATCACGCGTCACAAGAACCAAAAAGAAAACTTCTGGCTTCTGTGCTGCCCATCTGGTAAGGACTTATTTGATTTCTGGTGCAGGTGAGCTGTCAAAAACTTAGTGGGGCGACTTCCCATCTCCCAGCCTTCTTGAGCCTCTGACTGCTCAGCTGCGTCTCTGATTTCTGGACCTGAGGGGAAGGCTGGGTGGTTGAGAGCTGCACAGAAAGACAACTTCTGCTAGCTCGCCTACAATGGTCTCAGCAATTTTATTTTCTTCTTGCAGAAAAAGAGCCAAGGATACTTCAGTTTGATTTTCCCAGTGGAAATCTGCAATTTTCTTACAGAAACTGCTGAGTTAGTGAAAAGGGCATTCTCCATCAGAGAATTATTCTGATGGAAAATTTCCCAACTAGCATTATTAACACCCTTGACATTGTTTTGTCATTCCTCCTATTTGTGTATCAGTGTCTGGCCACCGAACCAAATTTCCAGCCAGGACTTTTGTAGTTATTATTCCCAGGGGGGCATCATGTAATTCTTGGAGTACACTAGACCTGAGATTTATTACAGTAACTGCTCTGGTGCCACACGTTAGGCAACCTGGACATGTATTTCAGTACTCTCTTTCCAGCCAAGAAGGCTCGAAGAGGCTGTGTGCTAAGCCCATCTCCTCATCCTTTCATCAGAGGCCTCAGCCAGGCCTGGCTCGCTCTCAGTTTCACATTGCATCAGGGTACCTGTCACTTGCCAGGTTATTCCTGCCACGGTACCAGAGCAGGGAGTACCCCAGAAAACCTTCCCTTTCCCTAACCAAGCTGTTACCGCTAACACTGAAGCCAGCGTTTGACATTTGCAACCAGAGTAAATTGTTTCCTCTTGAGATAAGCTGCGGTTAAACCGCTGACCTCCCAAGACGACGCGTGGATCTTTTCTCTGGGTGTGAGCACAGTGCTGTAGACCAATGCCAGTGAGCCCCAAGCACGGGTCTTTTTGGTATCTTATCCTGACGGCTAGCTTTCAGCATCAATGTTTCAGACCCACAGGGAAGTGCTGCAAGTTAATTTTACAAGCAGAGTTTCACTTTCTGATAATCCAAAGTTCTTTGCTTCATCTGGAGCCTTGGTACATCATGTGGATCAACATTACTTCTGTCCTTTGTGCACTGGTCTATTTAGGGAGTGTAATAGTGTCGATGTATTGGGCAAGACCCCTTGGTAATAACTGCCTATCCCCACAAAGGAAGATAATTGTGACATATCTTGTAGTTGAGGTGCCTTGAGAATAGCCTCAAGCATTACTGGTGATTTATGAAAATCATCTGCAAGTCCCACAGCACACGGCTGAGCCTCTGGAAAATTCACTTTTCCTTCACTTGCTGTCCAGCCATTCTTGACAGCCTCACCGTTACCTGTGCAGACATCCCTCGTTGTCACTTCCATTAACCCATACGTTGTCTGCATAGTTCCGAATGTTAAAAAACCTTTGCAATAGCTGGTCATGGCCCTCCACCAGAACATAGATGTGGAAGCTGTCCTAGTGCTATCCTGTAATACTGGAGTAAAACCTTGTGTGCATTATTCACAGAGTATTTTTTGCCATTAGCCAGCATCCCCATGTGGCTGATAGGTTTTGCTTAGTCAAACCTAGGTAAAGGATACCTGTCTTTGTTCATGGCGACCAGAGAACCACCACAGAAGGGAAAGCCCCCTGCTTCCTCCTTGCTGGCACCACATCCTCCCTTGGTAAGCCCTGAGAGCATCCCAGGTCCTGCCTATGTTGTTGTTCTGCCCCTACACAGGTTGTCACGCAGATGGGTCCTCAGGACTGCAATGGAATTAAAAACATGTTTCTCTTTCAAGCAAAGCTTTCTCTCGTTAATGTTTTCAGTTCTGATATTCTCCTGAAAGACCTTCACACCAAACGGGTGACTGTCCTCCAAAGAGGGAACAATAAAAGTTTTGTTTCAGGCTGTTTGATGCTGTTGCAACTCCCTGTCTTCTGGAATAGCTGTATCCTTTGACACAGCAGTTCCTAGAGCACGTTTTAAGGGCAGATCAGCCTTAGTTAATAACCGTTTTTGTATTGCTTCATTTTACATACCACACACTAACCGCTCCCTTGACACAGCATTTAAACTCTCTCCAAACTGGCAATACGCTAGTAATTTCCTTAAACCCCCCAACACATATTTAGAAATTGTTTCATTTTCCTTTTTTTTTTATTGCATTTTTCAGGAGCTCAAATACATTGCTATCACAAGTGCCTTTATGGAGAGAGGATTTAGGAAAGCTTCCACCATCTCGGCAAGCATTTCATCCACTGGTTTAACAGAAGCCACTAGTCTGTGGTTTGCTCTTTAGCTTTTTAGCAGTCACTGTATTCCTGGATTATAATCCCACTCTGGTCACCATTTCTTGTTTTTCTTTCCTTCTTAGACATAACACGAAGAGCCACACGGTCACAGATGAGTGCTTACTGAGTATACACAGCAGCTTCTCCCACTACAACTTGGCCATGAGTGTGGAGCAAATGTTGCTTTCTCCTTCAGCA